GCCACTGATGCAAAGAGCGGAGGACAGCAAAAGGGTTATTTCAAGCCCAGCCGAAGCCAGGATATCGTGGTATGCTGCATCTCCCAATTTGATAATCGTACACTCCCAAGATCCAACAGTCGTTGTGTCAGCAGCTAGATGACTCAAACATAATAGCAACACACACACTGCCATAGCTCCACACATGCCCTCGCCCGAACCTAGGAAGCCACTGATGCAAAGAGCGGAGGACAGCAAAAGGGTTATTTCAAGCCCAACCGAAGCCAGAATATCGTGGTATGCTTCATCTCCCAATTTGACTATCGTACACTCCCAAGATCCAACAGTCATTGTATCAGCAGCTAGATGACTCAAACAAAATAGCAACACACACACTGCCATAGCTCCACACATGCCCTCGCCCGAACCTAGGAAGCCACTGATGCAAAGAGCGGAGGACAGCAAAAGGGTTAATTCGAGCCCAGCCGAAGCCAGGATATCGTGGTATGCTTCATCTCATCAATTTGATAATCGTACACTCCCAAGATCCAACATTCATCGTGTCAGCAGCTAGAAGATGACTCAAACACAACAGCAACACATATACTGCCATAGCTCCACACATGCCCTCGCCCGAACCTAGGAAGCCACTGATGCAAAGAGCGGAGGACAGCAAAAGGGTTATTTCAAGCCCAGCCGAAGCCAGGATATCGTGGTATGCTGCATCTCCCAATTTGATAATCGTACACTCCCAAGATCCAACATTCATCGTGTCAGCAGNTCACCTCGCAATTTGATAATCGTACGCTCCCAAGATCCAACAGTCAGTCATCGTGTCAGCAGCTAGGTGACTCAAACAAAATAGCAATACATACACGGCCACAGCTCCACACATGCCCTCGTCCGAACCTAGCAAGCCACTTGGAAGTCACGAGGGAGCCAAGTCCTGCTCGCAGGTTCTCTTGGCTTTTTCCTTCAGGTGAACACGTCCAGGAATCCAGTATCCGCAGCCGCCGCAGTAGTACTGTACTGTGTAGTAGTAGCAGGAAATCCAGGTTGTACCCATCCATCCGTTGTCCAAATAAAGATTTGTGATTCCGTGAGAGAAGAAGATTCCACCGCCGTCGAAGGGTCGAAGGCACTGTCTGCCAGATGTAGGCGGTGAGATCGATGGAGCCACCTATTTGTTCTTAGCCTGCCCGCCCATGAGTGTCGTGACGAGGCCGCTGTGAGAGTGTGGCGGTGTATGTGTTGCAATTTTGTTTCAGTCATTTAGCTGCTGACACTAGTTGGATCTTGGGAGTGTACGATTATCAAATTGGGAGATGCAGCGTACCACGATATCCTGGCTTCGGCTGGGCTTGAAATAACCCTTTTGCTGTCCTCCGCTCTTTGCATCAGTGGCTTCCTAGGTTCGGACGAGGGCATGTGTGGAGCTATGGCCGTGTATGTGTTGCTATTTTGTTTGAGTAATCTAGCTGCTGACACGATGACTGTTGGATCTTGGGAGTGTACGATTATCAAATTGGGAGATGCAGCATACCACGATATCCTGGCTTCGGCTGGGCTTGAAACAATCCTTTGGCTGTCCTACGCTCATTGCATCAGTGGCTTCCTAGGTTCGGGCGAGGGCTTGTGTGGACCTATGGCAGTGTATGTGCTGCTATTATGTTTGAGTCATCTAGCTGCTATCACTTGGGAGTGTACGATTATCAAATTGGGAGATGCAGCATACCACAATGAATGTCCTGGCTTAGGCTGGGCTCGAAATAACCCTTTTGCTGTCCTCCGCTCTTTGCATCAGTGGCTTCCTAGGTTCGGACGAGGGCTTGTGTGGACCTATGGCAGTGTATGTGTTGCTATTATGTTTGAGTCATCTAGCTGCTATCACTTGGGAGTGCACGATTCTCAAATTGGGAGATGCAGGATACCACGATATCCTGGCTTCGGCTGGGCTCGAATTAACCCTTTTGCTGCCCTCCGCTTTTTGCATCAGTGGCTTCCTAGGTTCGGGCGAGGGCATGTGTGGAGCTATGGCCGTGTATGTGTATGTGTTGCTATTTTGTTTGAGTCATCTAGCTGCTGACACGATGACTGTTGGATCTTGGGAGTGTACGATTATCATATTACCCTTCCCAAAACCAAATAATAATTAATACACCCCATCGTTTTGACCCACTTTTGTCCAAATTGTACCCACTTGTGTCCACATACGAATGGCGCAAATCGAGCGGAAATTGACCTCCATGTTACCGCACGGCAGAAGATAGGGAGTGGGAAAACGGACTGTCAATGACAATGATGGCTCCACGGACTAATGAATTCCAACACAGGTCGTCCACGCCAGCCCTGCGTAAGACTTCTCCCGCCTACTTCTCCTGCCTACCTTTCGTCGCGGTCTGTTGCGTTTCCGTTGTTTTCGCCTTGTAATTGGGAGATGCAGTATACCACGATATCCTGGCTTCGGCTGGGCTTGAATTAACCCTTATTTATGCTGTCCTCCGCTCTTTGCATCAGTGGCTTCCTAGGTTCGGGCGATGGCATGTGTGGAGCTATGGCCGTGTCAGTGTATGTGTTGCTATTTTGTTTGAGTCATCTAGCTGCTGACACGATGGTCTGTTGCGTTTCCGTTGTTTTCGCCTTGTAATTGGGAGATGCAGTATACCACGATATCCTGGCTTCGGCTGGGCTTGAAATAACCCTTTTGCTGTCCTCCGCTCTTTGCATCAGTGGCTTCCTAGGTTCGGGCGAGGGCATGTGTGGAGCTATGGCCGTGTCAGTGTATGTGTTGCTGTTTGGTTTGAGTCATCTAGCTGCTGACACGATGACTGTTGGATCTTGGTATTACGGTGGAACACACTAATCAACAAGACCAAATTGGGCACTTCCCGTTCTCTCAAAAAAAAAAATCTGTCAAAATGTCGTCTCCCGAAAACAGTGTTGTATCACCAATTGTTCGAAGGGATCTTCACGGGGGTGTTTGGTTCCGGGTTATTATTCTGGTTCTGCACGTGAAGAAAGTTCGCCTCTGTCAGCGTAGTCCGATATCGGATTCAGAACAAAGCAGCAAACAACTTTCGATGTTTTAACACTATCGCTGTACAGGGAGCGTACAGCAGCAGACGGTCAAGGCTCCTCGTGGCTACGCTTGCTTGCTACTACTGCTGTGCGTGTTTTTTTTAATGTGCAGGTTTGAATCTCTAAAATACATAATCTACTGCTGTAGACTAGAGATAACCTCACAGGGATTTGCCACGCATCAACCAACAACTACCAACATCCAGATTTTGGCAGCGGGGCCAGCTCAGCGGGGCAGCGGCTCAGATTGTTGCATTGTTGCACCCTCGGTGTTAATCGCTATGTACAGCAGTAGTTCTCGCTAGGTTCGCTGTTGGACCTGACCTAGCTTGTCGACGGCCGGAAGTTTGAATGTTGGTCCATATTTATTTATTTATCGCTGGAAGCAGCCAGGACTCGCGCCAGGCGAAGACATTGATGGCAAATTGATGGCAATAGGTTACGTGCCGCGAGGAGGGGAGGAGGGTAAGGAGGCCTCGCTGTGGAACTTCATCTCTTCTCGCCCTCTCGAGTGCAGCCACAACAGACAGACCAGAACAACGCGCGCGCTCCGCCCAGNTGTTGGTCCATATTTACTATTTATCGCTGGAAGCAGCCAGGACTCGCGCCAGGCGAAGACATTGATGGCAAATTGATGATGGCAATGGGTCACGTGCCGCGAGAAGGGGAGGAGGGTAAGGAGGCCTCGCTGTGGAACTTCATCTCTTCTCGCCCTCTCGAGTGCAGCCACAACAGACAGACCAGAACAACGCGCGCGCTCCGCCCAGCAGCACCCCAGCTGAGCAGCACAGAAGCAGAACCAGAATAATAACCCTCCGGAACCAAACACCCCCGTGAAGATCCCTTCGAAAAATTGGTGATACGACCTNTAGTGTTGTAGGGTGCTGTAGGGTCGAGTCGCTTACTGCCCATGGCTGTGTGGGGTCTGAGACACAAATTGGGGGTGATGGAAACTGACAGAGAGAGAGGGAGAGAGAGAGAGCAAGGCAGAGATGAGACAGAAGTTTCGACCCGTTGCCNTCCCAGCTGCTGAGGTGTCGCACTACGAAGCTTAGCTATGTTGTAGTTATGTTGATACCAGCGGCGGTGCGTGCTGGCGGTGCATGCTGTTTATCACGGTCAGGTATCTTGAAGTAGTGTTGTAGGGTGCTGTAGGGTCGAGTCGCTTACTGCCCATGGCTGTGTGGGGTCTGAGACACAAATTGGGGGTGATGGAAACTGACAGAGAGAGAGGGAGAGAGAGAGAGCAAGGCAGAGATGAGACAGAAGTTTCGACCCGTTGCCCTCTGTAGAGGGCAGGGTAAGGAACGATGTACCCCTCAAAGAACAGGACCCACGCCAGTCACCCTTTCCTGCTGCAGATATTGGACTGAGGGATCTTCATGACTTAAACAGTACATACAATCTTTCGACGCAGCGGCGGAACCAGAGCAGGGCGATCGAGGCTTGCTGCACAGGAATCAAACGTTGACTGTTCGACAATACCATCACCCCACTCTACCGCGGGAACACTACTGTAGGGAACAGTAGGGGTTGATGGAAGCAGCACGCTGGAGCAAGAGCATCATGTCAGACAGAGCAAGATTAAGATAAGCAAGGAAACTTCGCCACGAAACAAGCGCCGTGTACATACTACATAGAGATACCGACGACCCACTCGTCAACTCTGTAGCTTTTCCTCGCGGATACCTGAGGAAACCAAATAAAAACTGGAGTCTAAAAAGAATTCGCATCACCATGTACCCTAGCCTAGAAATCCGTGAGCGTGAGTCGCCTGCCACCGATTCGCGATCAACCACAACACAACACAGTAGACCCGAAAACAAAAAAAAATTGCAACCACGGTGCGTTTTGTAGCCAGCACGGTGGAAGAGTCCACGGCCCCAACGGCAACCCCAACGGCGTACTCGCCTTACAAAAGAGCCATTTCAAAAAGGCTATATCTACCTCAAGAACGTCAAGATCACGCGGCCGACTTGATCGAAAGATCGCATCAAAGGGTTCTTGCAGAAGCACCGGCCGCAAAACCAAACTTCTAACATGCAAACTTTCAGTCGGTCGCTGCTGTGACCCAGAACGCGCTGGACCAAACCCGCCACGGTTTTGCGATTGATCGCCTCGTTCTCGGTCTCATTGATGAGAACAACCATGAACGCGAAGCGATCGAATTTCATGACATTCAGCATGTGCAGAATTTTTTTCTTTTTCGCGTGGTTGTGCTCGTGT